AATAAGTATTTTTAATTATATTACTATAATAATATAAATAATTTTATATTAACCTAATAATAAATAAATTACAGATTATTTTTATATTTGTTTATAATTATTTAAGACTGTTTAATATCTCTAGTATTACTGTTCATTGGATTTCTAAAGAATAGAAAATTAAGAAAACTTTAGCTGATTTTTATAAATTAGCTGAATCACATTCTGAAGAAAATTTAGCTGAAGCATTTTTACAATGTTATAATAAATTATAAATATTAACTAAGGTTTAATTATATATATATATATATATTTATAAATAATTAATTTATTTTTAAATTATTTTTATTTATTTTTAATTTAGATATTAATTTGTATAACAGATAATACTTAAAATAATAATACTTTAATAGAAATAATAGAAAATGTTTGTTAATCTCAAAATATTAATTTTATTAAAAAATAATCATATTTATTATTTAGCACATATAATTAATCTTGTTATATAAAATACTCTTTCTTTTCTTAAAGTCAATTATTTAGAAAATGTAAATGTAATTTATAATAATATTAAAGAAACAAATGCTATAATACTAAAGGTTTGAAATAATATATTTTATTTTTTTTTTAAATTAAATTAAATTAAATTATTTATTTATATTTTATATAATATAGTTACAAAAACTTGTTAAAATTCATTCATCATCTCAAAGAAAAGAAAAGTTTGCTAGACAATATGAAGTTGAAGAATTATCAGTAAAAGAATTAATTTTAGATATAAAATCCTGATAAAATTCAACATTTTTTATGATAAGATGTGCTATTAAACTTCATAAAGTTAGTTTAAATTAATTTATTTTAAATAATAATATATTATTATTTATTTATATAATTATTTTATTAGGCTTTATATAATTTTGCAATTTTGCAATAAGTGAAAAGATTTACATAAACTAGTTTAACAGATTTAGATTGAAATTTATTTATTAAAATAAATACTTTCTTACAGGTAAAATATTAAATATTAATTTTTTTATATTTAATAATTATTCATATTATTATTTATATTTTTTTAAAATATAGATTTTTTTACATGCTACATTACAAATTTCAAATTCAAGTTTTTTAATATTTGCTAATTCAATTCTAATTTATAATTGATTAATAGATGAGATTAAAGATTTTTGCAAAATAGATTCAAATAAAATAATAAATTTAGCTTTAATTGCAATGAAAAAACTTAAAAATATTATAATCATATAGACTTTCCAGCTTATTATATTACTATAAGTATGTTATTTTTTTTTATCTTATATAAATAATTATTCTTAAATTTTTATTAATTTTTTTTATTTAAAGTATTTTATTCATAATTAAAACTTATATATTATAAAGAATAAAGATGGGAACTGTAATTAATATGTTGCAACTTTTAATATTGCAACTTACGTTGCAATTAGTTTTAACCTA